CCAGTCTGGGCCTCACGTGCATTTTACTATTCACACAAAAGAAATAACAAAAATTTACAACCTCGTAAATTCAATAATCATTCCTCAAGATTGAGTACATAATTTACCAAAAAGTAAATATACTTGGGGACGGTGTTACACAATTGATTGACTTAAGGAGTTGTTTCTACAAAGGACATGTTTGCGCACAAAGCAGGTGATGCGCAAAGCTGGGATTGTGCATGACCACTGATGCGCGAAGCAAGGGTTCACGCACGAAGTGTTTCACGTACAGTTGAAGTTCGCGCACGGAGAGGTTCATGCACACAACTGAGGTTTGTGCATGACGAGTTTCGCCCACATCTGAAGTTCGCACACATCTGAAGTTCACGCATGGAGAGTTCCGCGAACAGCTGAAGTTCGCGTACAGAGAGTTTCGCGCACAGAGTGATGCACCAAACTGAAACTTCACGTCTGAGAATCTGAAACATGTACGCAACTTAAACCTGCGCGGACGATGCAGAAAATGATGTTTGGCAAATGGTATTCCATCATCGAGCACTGATAATGGCTTTTTAACCTGCAAAAATAACAAAACAGAAACATCAGCAAGTTCATGGACAAAATAGACAAGTTCGCGCCCGAGAGATTTCTTCAGCGTCAATCGGTCAATCAGCTACGACTCTGATACCAGATGTTAGGTCCCTGTTTTCTACAAGGGAAACTACAAAATGGAGCTCTCAAAATGAAGAAGAAAGGTTCGCATTGAAGGAGAAAGATTACAATGATGAAGAACTGTAGCGTATAACTTTCTCTCTTCTCTCACTCTCAAAAGGATTAGGCGCAGGGAATATCAGGTGATGCGTATGTAAAGTTGTCCCATCTATTCCCTTAAATGCATATGTATAGCCTAGGGAATGGGTAGGTCATTACAATGATTGAGCCTTTATTATTGATGTGGTCCAAATATTCCCTTTGCACCTTTTATCATATTTAGAGCTATTCTATTCTACTCTATTTAATACTAGATAAAATACAACAAGAGACATTTAATAATTGAACATTGATCACAACAAAATATCTCTAACATCGATGGAGCGAGCTGAGGGAACTGATCGATAGAGGAGAGAGCGGGCGAGTGAGGGAGGGAGAATCAAGTTAAGGATGTAGTCGTCTTTTAAATTGTTATATAGTATCTTTTCCACAAACTATACTGTGGGGCTGTTATATCATGCACACGGTATACTGGTCCCAAATATGACATCTTTCCTTTGTTTAATTTGAATTTAAGTCTGATAAAATAGAAGATTACATTCACATGTGTGTGATTTAGATTTTCATGTGTGCGAGTTACATTTATATATGATATGGGGAGTTACATTTGATAATGCATGAAGTTACATCTTCTTATACGCAAAATACACCTTCATGTGCGCAAGTTACATCTTCTTATGCGTGATTTACATTTCATATGCGCGGTTACATTTGGACTTCCCGCAATATGTTCCATTTTGCATACACGCGAGTTACATTTTTCATCAACGCGGGTTACATTTGCCGTAACACGAGTTACAACATTAAATACACCATGCTATTCAAACAAAAAATCACTGTTCACAAGTGTTTTAGTCGCGGAAGTGTGATCTTTTTTAATATATCATTATTTGTTTCCCTTATATTAAAACAAAACATATTCTTAAAGTAATCGGGTAATTAGACTATTTTTTCATCGTTTGCATTGAAAACGATATTTTATTTCTTATACTCCGTATAGAGAAAACTTACATTTCAACTCACCTCCAGTTACATTTCATTGATGTCAGTTTCATTTATTCAAACGTGGGTTACATCATCTTGCTATTCAAAAATTACTACTCACGCATGTTGTTAGTCTTCATACGTGTTTTAAAGCGTGTTGTACAACAATTTTACAATTGTATTTTTTCACATATCTATAGTTATCCATTTAAAACTTAGAGGCCGTTTGACAACATTGTTTTTCGGCTTATCAGCCAACTTTTTCACCAAACACGAAAGTTTTGTTTCGCGCGCTGAATTGTGTAATAAGCAGAAAAGGTAAGAATAGAGTTACTTTTATGACTGAATTGGCTGAACTTACTGTAGATGACCATTTTAGCTATTTTTACATATAATTTTTCTTTATTTTATTAATAAATATATTTTAATTTTTTTTTAAATAAGCAGAATCAGTCAATGCAGTCACTTTAGCCAGAACTTCATAAATTTCAGCAGAATCAGCCAAAATAGCCGATTTTCGTGCTACCAAACGGACGCTAGAAATCTTCTTTCGGTCATTCATTCAAATCTTTATATAATACTACCTCCGTCCCAATTTAGTTAGCCAATCTTGACTTTTCCGGTCAAAGGTGGTACACTTACCCATTATTTTAACTAATATATTTATGAAAAAAATAGTAATTTTATACTTTTATAATAGTATTTTCAACAAAGAACATTTTCATATAATTTTTATATTATTAATATTTTTTCTATATAGATATATAATCAGTCAAAGTTAGGTACCATTGACTTGAAAAAATAAGTTTGACTAAGTAAATTGGGACCGAGGGAGTATAAAGTAACAGTCTTTGCACAACAGTTGGAGGGAAAATTCCCGCCCGAAAAGTAACAAAATAAATATGTAAAGTCAAGTTGTACATTAATACTGTTAATACGTCGTATATGTAAAATTTGTTGTTACCAAATTTATTTGTCACAAATGCATTCATACACTGCAAGTTTATAAAGTGCCGCCCAATGCATTGCAAAATGAAAAGATGGTTAATAGCATAGAAGTACTTGCCATATTTAAAGTTTTAAATATTAATTCATTTTAATGTATTAAAATCAATAATTACTTACTACTACAACACTAACATAAATAATAATAACAATAGTAATAATAATAATAATAATAATAATAATAATAATAATAATAATAATAATAATAATAATAATAATAATAATAATAATAATAATACTCTGTAATAAGTAAAAAAAGTTACAATCTTTTGCCTCAATTTTCCTATCCAATGCATATAAAAATAAAAGGAAAGTAAATATGAGATACACATGTAACCATAGTGTCCAATTTGGTCAATTTGAAACCTTTGTGTCCAAAATGAGATTCACCTATAATCATAGTGTGAAATTTGACCATTGTCCCAAAAAGAAATTCATACATTAGGTGAATCCTGCATTTTTGTGTCCGAAAAAATATGTCCAAGTTTTGACCAAAAATAGTCACTGCAGCAATTTTAAGTATAGTAGCTAAAACCTAAATAGTTTGCCCATACAAGTAGCAACACAAGATTTCAATTCACCACATAAAGAGCCGATTGGTAACACTGAAATTGGCTGAATCGACAGATTCTGCCGAATTTTCTAAATTTCTGCCTGAAGTGCCTCATTCCGCTTCGTTATGAAAAAATAATACATAAAAGATTTTTATTAATAAATTACAGAATATAATATATGATAAATAGACAAAAATGGTTTTATACAGTAATTTCAGCCAAATCAGTCAGTTAATAGTGCATCCAGAAGAAATCTAGCCCGAATCTATTCAATGGAAAGTTTATATTTGTATAATTCAGATTTTGCATATTACACAATATAAGAAATCTAAAAATATCGATGCCTTGGATGACCCTACTGAATCATCAAGTAATTCAAATTCATTTTCAATTTATTATTTGTAATGCAATTCCATGATTAAATTATCATATTTTTGGAACTAAGTTTACATTAATTTTTCTTACAAAAATTAGGATACATGACTTTTAAAAGAACTCTAATTTCATAAATCGGACAACTTTTACAAGAAGCATGTGCTTATGTTATCAGCAATTTGTTGGTTGCTATGAATAGATCGATGTCGCAAAAGCACACTATGCACCAATATTGTCTTAGTTTTTTTGGAAATAACTACAAGCGGGTACCTACAACTAAAACGTGTGTAGAATTTTTTTAATTTTTTTCGCACGATCTAATTTTTCTTTTCTTATAAGCTTATACTACCTCCGTCCCAAAAAGAGTTGCAAATTTGACTTTTCTTAGTCAAACAGTCTCGTTTTGTTCAGTTAATTAGGACGTCAATTTTTAATTACATTCTAATTTGGAGTTTACAATTTTGAAGAGATTTTGATGTAGTTTTTGAATATGTAAATTTTAATTATTAAAAATTGAATTAATTATCCATAGGGAGGGTTGACTTTTATTATTGGTTGACAAAAAAATGTTGACTTTGCAAAACAAATTGGGACGGAGGGAGTATTATATAATCAAATTTACAACATATAAACTCTACTATGTTTTTTATTTGGAAAAATAACACATCACATATAAATACCATCATTATAAAGCATAATATTAAAAAAATTGTTACTATATTCTAGATATATATCCCGTGCATCGCACGGGGATTGAGTTTAGTACACTTATATACGAGTAGATGTTATTTCTCGCTACCTTTTTTTTTTTGGATGAAATGTAAATATATATTAACACCCAGAAAACTATACATTAAGATCTCCTACCCCCCCCCCCACCCCACATAGTGTGAGGGTGAGAAGAGGTTTTTCTTCGATCTACTCCATGCCAAAATAACCAAGTATAATTACTCGGCCCATCAGAATATAATCCAAAATACATCGGTGCCGCACATGCAAGCACACATATCAGAGGCTAAAATCTAAGAATTACACAGGTGTTGCAAGAAACAAAGACCCAAAAACCATCAAGGATCTTGTTTATGCCGCGGCATAACTAGAGCCCATGCCTTGATCTTCTAAGTTCGGAATCCAGTCCCGGACGCTTCTCCATGCCACAACATCCATAACATACATGTCGTGTAGTAGTAGAGTCCCTAGGCCGCGACATCCATAATGTCCATGCCGCGGCATATGTGTAACATGGAGCCGCGTCTAAGCAGCAAACCATGTCCATACCGGCAGTCTTCTATGCACCATGGCTCCCAAAAATTACTTTATGTCCACTTCTAAAAATAGACCAACTCATGCGGGTAGATACTGAAAAGGATCCTGTACACCACATGTTTGATTTTCATTATAATATCTTCTTCGGTCTTCTTGCCATCATCAAATCTGATTACATTTCGTGCATGCCAAATGTAGTAGACAGTCGCACAAAACGCAATTCGAGCTGCCTTAGCCTTCAACTTCGAACCTTTGTGCGTCTTTGTGATCCATTTGACTGCGCTAAGCATTGTCGTCATCTCATGCCGTAGTCCCATCCAGTTCCGGATATGCTGCCATACCTTACAAGTAAAGGGGCAAAGGAAAAAAAGGTGTGATATTGTCTCCAAACCACCCTTGCATAAGTCACACCGATTCACAATATGGAGATACCTGAGGCTATCCTGCGTAGGAAGTCGGTTTCTCAAGGTCAACCATACATTGAACGAGAATTTTGGGGGATGTAGGATTTCCATATGAAACTCATAGGTGTCCTAGCTCCACCCTTAACTCTCAACAGCTCATAAACCTTAGCGGAGGCTAATTTACCATTCGTGGCGCGAGAACTAAATCCCAAAATCATATCATTGTGGTTATTAAAACAACACTGAATCCTGTCCCGAATGAGACTCAACCGCTTCATTAGCTGTGAGTCTCGGTTGTGTGGGACAAAGTCCCACACGGTTCTACCCTTAAGATAGACACCGTTCACCCACCTCACCCAAAGGATGTCTTTCTTCATGTGGACGTCCCAAAGGGTGCGAGAGAGGAGGGCATGATTGCACACCTTGGCATCAAGAATGCCAAGACCCCCTTCCTCTTTAGGAAGACAAATGTCATCCCAAGCCACCTTGGCAAACTTACCACCCCAAAGAAAAATACGGCAAATCGAGACAATTCTATTTAAAATAGTTTGAGGGACGGGGAAAACCTGGAGCCAGAACGACTGGACCCCTTGGATCACCGATCGGATTAGCTCAATTTTGCCAGTATAGGACAGTGTTTTGGTATTCCATGCCTTTAAAAAATCATTGACCGTGTCAAGTAAGAGGCATATTGTGCAACCGAGATCTTAAGTGGGGCAAGAGGTATTCCAAGATATCTAACCGGAAATACGCCTTGCCCATAATCAACAATATCCAAAATATTTTGAAGTTCTTGTTCCATCACCCCACCCACGAAAATATTATTTCTCGCTACCTTATCAATACAGTTTGCGGATGGATGAGAGAGTTGGGCAGGGTATTGTATACGATAGCACTCCGCAATTGCAATCCGTTTCGGTACACACCAGTCACTACTAATAATAATGCTCGCAGCGGTGAAGGATAATGCCGGCCATTTTTAAGTGAAAATGCCGCTGTCATTCATTAACCTTTCTGCACAAAAGTCGAGGGAAAATAGAGGAAACCCCGAATATAGGTATAAGATATTCTTAATCACGGCGCTTGTATACACTCCACTCCGTATGTATGTATAATAATAAATAAATGGTGTAGAGAGAGAAAGGAGGCATGAAGGGCGTAGTACCAAGCATGATCTGAACCAAGTAGAGCAAGAGAACAGACAAAACAACATCAATCAACAATTGGGAAAACAATTGTTTATGTCTCACAAAAAAGACTCTTGTTTTCTTGGCTACAAAGGGGAAAGAAATCTTCTTTAAAATATATAAAAAAAAAAAAAGGAAAAGGAGAGGAGGGACTGGGCTCCTCCACACTCATCATTGTGTCTTCAATCCGAAGCCAAAAGAGGGAGGAAGACTATGTTGTGATTCCACACTCTCTTTTCCCCACCCCCAACTCCAACGGGTATTGTTTTGCATCTTCACCATTCTCCCACCCATCTTCATGCCCTTTTCTTCTTTCCTTATCGCTAACCAGACCCACACTGACACAGGTTCTCTCTCTCCCTCTCCCCATGCATATGTCAATTCTTTTGTTTTAGCTCAATTTTGAATCTTTCATTTCATGTATCTCTGCAAAATTTTGTTTTCCTTCAAAAAAGTAAAAATTAAGACTTTTTTTTTTGTGTTCTTCTTTACTTCTGGACATTGAAATTCGTTATTTGTATGTATTGAATCATCTCGGGGTTCTCTCTTTTGGTTGGTTGCTCCCTGGATCTGTGATTTGTTCGTGTAGGGATTAATGTTCACACATGTTGTTGTAATCAATCTTGTGTTATATTCTGAGTTCGGAGCTTAAATTTCTGAGATCTGTGCTGTGGCGAAAAGTGTTGATTAGAATGTTCTTGCAATTTATCGTTAGGGTTTAGTTAGTCTAGATTGAAAGTAAGAGCAAAAACAAAAACTGCGACTTTCCTTCATCACTGTGCAGCTTGAAAATGTATACCTGTAGAAAAGTGTGACACTGAAATTGGAAATTTATTCTCTGCATGAGCTTTTTGCTACAACCATTTAATGAACATGTTGCTGCTCTTCATATAGGCCTAGGATCACTCTTGGCTGCATCCCCAACCATTGCTGCAATGCTTAAGCAAATTCTTGCGAAAATTCCTCGGAAATCCCAGAAATCTGATTCAAAGGATCCCTCTGTGACCAAACCCTTAAACAGCAAGCCACCCATGACAGATACCGGCGATGGGCTTCAGTTCACAAATAGCTGCAATGTGATAGCCAACCAACTAAGTGTAGTGAAACGCATGTCGTCTGCAATCTTCCCCGTGGCAGGAGGGGATTCCATTGGGCCCCACATGTGCTTCAAGGATGTCTCAAATGGGGAGAAGCAAGGCCTGTTCTTGAGCAAGCTGAACCTCTGCTGCTCCGTGTTTGATTTCAGTGATCCAGAGAAGAACACGGCGGAAAAAGACCTGAAGAGACAGGCGTTGATCGATCTCAACGACTTTGTCACCTCTGGGTCTGTTAAATGCACTGAATCCGCCATTGCTGCAGTCTGCAAAATGTGTGCTGTTAATTTGTTTAGAGACTTCCCTCCCAAGTACTCCCCCTCCCATTCTGCTCGAGGTGAGGGTGAAGATGAAGAACCACTATTCGACCCTGCGTGGTATCACTTGCAGCTGGTGTACGATCTATTCCTTCAATTCATAAGCCTGACGTCTCTTGATCCGAAGGCAGCAAAGAAATATGTGCATCACTCCTTCATAATAAGACTGCTCAACCTATTTGACTCCGAGGACCCAAGGGAAAGAGAGTGCCTTAAATCGGTCCTCCACCGGCTTTATGAGAAGTTCATGGTGCACAGGCCTTTCATCCGAAATGCGATCAGTAACTTATTTTATGGCTTTGTGTTTGAGACTCAATGGCATAATGGGATTTCAGAACTGCTGGAAGTATTGGGAAGTGTGATTAGCGGTTTCGCTTTGCCCTTAAAAGAAGAGCATAAGGTGTTCTTCTCCAGGGCTTTGATACCCTTACACAAGCCAAAAGCATTGGGCATGTATCACCAACAGCTGGTATACTGTGTTGTACAGTTTGTAGAGAAGGAGCAGAACCTGGCCAGCGTTTTGGTAGCAAAGCTTTTGAGATATTGGCCTGTGAAGAATAGCCAAAAGGAATTGATGTTTATTAGTGAGATCGAAGAGATTATGGAATTGATGAAGGTTTCTGAGTTTCAAAAGATCATGGTCCCACTCTTTCGGCGTATAGGGTTTTGCCTCAATAGCTCGCATTTCCAGGTATTATTACTCTCTTTTGTTAACAGCATATAATATGATGATGAACTCAAGCTCTCTGTATCATTTTTTTCTTGTTTGTCACTATGGACAATTAACTAGGAAGATAAGGGAGCCATTTTCATGAAGCAGTTCTTTTCTTTTTCCTGTTTTTGTGCATTAACACTCTTATATGTTTCAGGGGGGAATTTCCACACAACATTTCCTGTAATAACTTATTTGCATGCAATTAATTGCAGCCCAAAAGAAGCATCATTGAAATCTAGGAAAAAAAGCTTAGCTAATATAGGTTTGGTAACACTTTTATTACTAACAACCTAAGCTGAAACAAAACAATAATTACTTTCCAAAAGCAGCTTGTTCCTAACCGCCATTACTCCTAAAGTAATATATTTGGAAATGCTATGGTCCATTTTTTCATATCCCATTCGAAAGCGGATAGTAGTTTAAGGGAGGTATTAAACGTAAGGGGTGCATATCTGGTATGTGTGTTGGATGACTTGAAAGGCAGGTATTTTGTTTTTAAATTCTAAGGAAATCATAATTTCACTTTGTTTGACTCTAGACTTATCACTTATGGGAATGCCATTGCATATTAGTTTGTACCAACTTGTCAAGATTTTACAGGTAGCAGAAAGAGCACATCTCTTGTGGAACAATGACAACTTCCTTAACCTGGTGACGCTCAACAAGGATGTGATGATGCCCATTGTAGTGTCGGCATTAGAAAAGAACAACCAAAATCATTGGAACAAGTCCATTCTGAACCTGACTCAAAATGTGAGGAAAGTGATACTGGAGATGGACGAGGAGCTTGTTCTTGCTTGTCAAAGAAAACTTGAGGAGGAAAAGTCGACATCAGACATAGTTGCCGAGAGACGGAGGGTGAAATGGGAACATCTTGATAGTATTACCTCTACCCCTATTTCTTCTCTAGCTAAGCCACCTTTCAATTGCCTTGTTGCTACCTGTTGAATTGATGAATCAACTCTACCTGGAATGCTTACTCTTCTGAATTTTTTATGGAAGAAACATCCACCCGCCAGCTTCTTCAAGAGCGCTCTTACAATGGCTAGCCAATGGGGTGAGCAGCAGCAGCATCAATATCAGTTTGATATGTGTCAGCCTCTTTTCTTGAACTGATGAACTGTAATTTCTTGCCAATATGATCAAGTCAGTCTTTGAATCATGTCCTGTAAATAAGTCTTTAAATGAGTGAGTTAAGCAGGTAGTCCGCCACAGTAAGTTATTGTTCCTATATGACTACTCATTATTGGCAGTATTATATCTATGTTAATATAGATTTACATGGTTCTCGAATCTTACTCTGCAAATTCCTGTTTTGGTCCTAACATTTGAAAAGAGACTTGAATCAATGCCAAACAAATTATTTCCAATTACAAACTAAAATATATTGTTAGTAAAATGGTAAATAGTTAAATACTCAAAAGATTTCAATCCTAGCACTGTCTATGTACATGCATCTATACACTTAATTTCACTGTTAGCTCATTAATGCAGTTGGAGTAAACAATTTTTTGGGTAAATGTCTTTCACTGTTAGCTCATTAATACAGTTGGAGTAAACAATTTTTTTTGGATAAATGTTTGCTCAGTAAACACTTTTATGTCATAAAGTATTGCCTCGTAAGTACATCACCCCACATTTTTACTAACATGTTACTTTTACATATCGATAAGATAACTCTCTTTGCATCTTACAATGAAAGTTGCCGGAGCAGCCCCACTCCATATTCCAACCCTACCTTCAACCCCTACCCTCCCGTGCCCCCTACCTACCCTTTACCCTAACCCCACCTCACCCCTACATACATACCCCTACCCTACTACACCTCCCTCACCCACCCCACCACCTGCCCCAACCTACCACACCCACCAGGTACCCCTATACCATACTCCTTTACCCCCGCCCCACCCTACCACACCCACCAGGTACCCCTATCCCATACTCCTTATTAGTCTGTGAAGTAAACATATTCTATGTTTGGGTTCCTAGTGCAATGCCAAAACTTCACGGTTTTCAACAACTTTTACATTGTCGCTTGACGCAAGATTAAGCATTGATTAAGTGATTTGTGAGCTAAGCTCCAAAGAGTTGGGGGGTTACCAAACTAGTGATTTGTGAGCTAAGCTACAATAGGCCATTAGAAACCGACACTGGTGTAGGCCTAGGATTCATCCCCATTCTTGAATAGGTGCATTGTGACATTGTCCCTTCCGATGTAAATTTCCGCTAATTAAAATTTTCGACCAATTATGAATACAACAACATTCAAACTTTATTTTCAAAAGATTTGGGGTCAACTAACATGAATTGATCCAATATATCGAAGCCAAAAAGAGAAATAAGATTGAAAATTTCATCCTAGCTATTAGATTTAGCGATTATTAAATTTAAATATGTGAGACCCACGTAGGGGGGCCCACCTAGTATGTCCCGGGGCCACATATTATATTTATGTGAGTCTGGATAATATTTTATGTTGGGAGAATAATTAATTACGGACCAAGGATGTGTCTTTGAATTAAATAGAAGGAAATGGGAGGAATAGCCAAATATAAAGGGGACAAAGGGCCCAAAGATTATTTAATAAACCTATTGAAGGCAGGTGTTCTTCGGTGGTCTTCATCGGCTCTAGAGGT